CCACTCGGCTCCGGCTCGGGCGGCGGCGACGGGGAGCAGAATCCGAAGGAGGAGCCGACTGCCGCGGCGGGTGTCGCGGCAGGCACGGCGAGGCCGTCGAAGAGGCTCATGCCCGCCGGCGGCTCTGCTGACGGTGCCGGAAGAGCCGAGCCGGCGGTGGGCGTGTCGAGAGCCGCACGCCACATCTCGGCCTCAACCTCGGAATCGGCGCGGAGGGAATAGGCCTGGCCGCCGGCGAGCAACTCGAACCGCGCGGCGTCGGCCTGGTCCGCCGGCCCGTCGCTCGTGCTCGCGCCGAGCGCGCTGAGCTCGAGCGTCCACTTTGCGTCGCCGCCGCCCACATCGCCCGGGCTGTTGAAGTACTGCAATCGATCGCCGCTCAGCACGAACCAGCGGCGCTGCCACATGCTGGTCCCCGACCGGGTGGTGGCGAGCTTGCTGAGCCAGCCATCGAGGGATCGGTTCATGAAAAGCGCGCAGCAGCGCCGCCCTGTGGCTCACGCACAACTCCGTGTTACAGTGGGTTGCGGGCATTAAGAAAACAATGGCGGCACGCCGCCGTTTCTAAGCCTTTCCACAGCCCTCATCCACCCCACGCCGTGGTTTCTTAGCTCCGGCCGGCCTCCTAAGGATTTTAGGTAAGAGGTAAGCTGCGGTCCGCGAGGGCGATGCCAGAGTCTGCCGCCGAGTCGGCTCTCTGGATGACGGGAAGACGCACACACGCCTCCATCTCCACTCCACTCAGAACACCGTAGACTTGGAAAGTGACAAGTGCGCGCGCCGCAGGCGAAGAGAAATTTTGAGCTGGGGCTCCCGTTCACACTCGAGACTCGTGTCTGGCCTTTTCTCGGGGCCGCGCCTGCGGCGCGCCGTGGTTTCTTAGATTTTTGCGGAAATCTCTTGGTGGGGTTTCTTAATGCGACGTTTTCTTAATGCCCGCAACCCACTGTAGGTCATTCATGGGTGATAGCGGCCCACTGTGCCCGCTGGTAGGACAGTGACCCTGTGGTCAGCTCCATATGATGTCGGATATTTTTTGTTGGCACCGTAACACCAGCGGCCGCAGTGAATTAAAAGGGGCGGTTTTCGAGGGGGAATCTGGAGAACCCCCACCTCCTCGAAAAACTTTTCACTCCAAGACATAGTCCTTTTTTAAGGTGCTCTACAACCTAGGCACAAAAGATATGGCATTGCAGGCCATTTAGGGCCCCTAGACGATCTGTCGCAGGAGGTGAGGCACGAGGACTCTCGTGAGGACCAGTGGCCTGACCTATATCGAGAGGCTTCACCTATTATTCTCCTTCTCTCTCTCTCTCCTTCCCTCGCTCTCTCTCTCTCCCATTCCAGAGTGACGAATAGTCCGCCATATCCCCATATCCCTATATTCACACACCCTGTGCAGTGGCACGTCACGCTCCCCAACTCCCGTTGTGCAAGTTTGGCACGTCATAGTTTCCCGACTGCTTCTCGTGGTACCGCCGCGCTGCGAGACAGTCGACCTCTCTACTGTTGTGACACCACAACTCGGTGCAACTGGCGCCTTTCCCCCCACCGGTGTGACACCACACCTTCGTACTTTGAATACTCTCTACAAATATGTCTTCCTCGGCTGAGGAGGCCCGTGGCACTGCGGGCAATCTATCTCCCGCGACTAGAACTACACGAGCAAGGGTTCAGATGACTATCTCTCGAGCGAGAGACGAGGGACGCCTCACGATACTACAAGAGGGCCGAGACCGGGACCATTCCACACGGTCAGACCACTCTGATCACCACCACACGATCACTGAGTAGGCCAAAATCCCCACTGGGCCGGGAGCAACCTTAACACAGCCTTCTCACAGCACGCTGGCACGACAAGGGCGGGGACTGGCGCGGACTGGCACACACACCGGCTCACCACCGGAGCCGCCTTAAGCGACTCCGTTATAAGAACGGCAATGCATGTGATAAGAAGTGGCCCCGGAAGAGCTGGGAATAGGACCGCCGCAAGCGGCGTGGCGTGGGGCGGTTGAGCATCCCTCCGGGGGCCCCTCTGCGCCGGGAGGCGTTGTTGGAGGCTAGGACGCAAAACTGATAACTCTCGCACTAGCTCTCGCCCTCTCGCAAGCCTGGCGCCCTGGCCTCCGCCCTAACCGACCGCCCGGCGGCCCGCACGCTCGACAGAACCCGGACGACGTGCGTGTTTCCTTCTCTACGAAAACACACACTCCCAAGTCAGCGCCATCGAGCAGCCATCGAGAACAACAAGACTCTTTGGCGAGCCAACGCAGCAAAATCTTCGCAAGAGGAGATCCTAGAGTCTCTTGCTAGAGCGGTGCAGCCAGGCTCTTGCTAGAAAGACGGTGAGGCCGGGATCGCAAACGGCAGGGATGGCGGGACGGCTCTGGAGCGAAGTGGCCGTAGCCAGCCTCAAGCACGCATGTTGCCAGATGAGAATGGGGGGAAGAACTTTTGGATTTTTCCAGAACTTGGAGCACTTGGAGTGCACGAACGTGGTTCTTTCTCTCTGCCGCCTCCAACGAACGCGTCGTCGTCTCCAGCCCTTTTTGTCGCCGCCTCCCTCTCCGGCGACGCTATGGCCTCCAACTGGATGGCGCTCCAGGCGCGGCTCAAGGCCGGCAAGTCGTCGTCGGCCGGCGGCAAACCGGCCCGGCGAAAGAGCATCGAAAAGGCCGCGCCGCGG